GGCGCATTCTTTGATATTGGTTGTTCTATCAATTCCTGCAATAATCAATCCAATTATTTACACTATGTCATTGGATGAATTTAAATGTGCCAACTTGAGGAAAATAATGTTCCAATTTAAGAAGAATGAAAAGAAATGTCAAATTCGTAAGTATTCAAGTTCTTAAGTAATTAAATTGTGCTTCCAAGGATCTCAACAAACATAAAATGATTATAATAATGTTCTTACTCACGTGATTATCAACCTTATACAAGTACAATCTGTCAATAAAATAAATCTATTCATCCTAGTAAAGCATATATATGAATGTATAATTCTCAGAACACCATACAATTCCCGGCCCCTGAATTGCTACTCTCATTCGCGCGTTTATCGTTTGTGTGCTTGCGCATATTGCGTTACCTGAGGTAGGATGACTTCTTCCGGGGGTCGCATGTCTATTGCTATTTCGACTTTTAATATTTCTGCCCTACCTTCGCCCGTTTCGTGGTAGGTTATGCTGCAGGTAAATATTATTCACGTATGTCCATGACACATTTCGCCAAAAAAAATCATTCCATGAATTTTCCTGTGGCTGTGGTCTGAAACGATTTCTCAAAATTAAACTATTAATAACTGCCTGTGTGATTTCTAAACGTCGTGTCATTGAGGGTGTCCTACCCTCTAGCATTTTGTTTTCGCTCTTGGACTCTTCCCGGAGCCTCTGTTCTAATAGATTATTGCGAGATACTGAAGTTCTCCGTAACATTAGTTTTCGCTATTAGAACATATAAAGGAGAAGACATTAAAAGTAAATATTGAAAAGATACTACTCATTATACACAATGTCATTTGCAATTAAATTATATTGTAACTAGACTTCGTCGTGTGTACATTTTGATTTTGTTCTCATAGCAACACTGTTCATCCGGGCACAGACTGAGTTTGTGAGTACTACTAGGATATGTTTGGTACGTTATTTTGATAATAGTAACATCATCTCAAAGTACATGCCTGAAAAATATAGACACTGGAAATGTGTCAGTGCCCATGACATAGACCACATGGTTGGTGATATTACTGTCGCTATGGATATTCTACATGAAAACTTGTACTGTCATGAAAGTATAAATGAACATGCCATATTCATTGACGAAGACTATGGGGTAAGAATGAAGAATATGTAAGAATAAATGTGACTGTTAGTAGGATACAACTCACCAGAAAGATCATTGAGCTGATCTTTCTTGGCATTCCAAACAATGTTTCCCTTTTTTTCTCCTAACCTCCAAACCATATTGAACACCATGTATTTGCATGTTGTCCCGTAAATCCCCTGTTATGCTTAGCTAATTTTCAGAAAAAGATCGTTTTATCATACCAAACACATGTTTTCATTGATCAAAACAAATTATTTCCTTCTTGTTAAGACTCAATCATTGGAAGATGTTATTTCACTCAACTACAGGGGCCTTCAGTACCACTAACACTGCCTGCTAGAGTTCTTGCAGTTTATTCAGAAATCATCTGCATAAGTGAAGTTAGATATACATCATCCACCTACTTTTTACAATGCCGTATATTATAATTATAAATCCAATTCCCAACTATTTATGTGTAAATGTGGGCAACCTTTGTCTTACTCCAATAGTGGATATGATAATATGCATTGATTCACTATACAAGACCCCTAGTCAATCATAATAAGTTAATTGTACGGGGTTCAATTGGTTTAGGATTCTAACCCAATCAGGTGTAGGTTGAATGTTGTAAAGAGTCGGCCTCGTTAAGTTACATATTTTCAACCGATTCTCTTTGGTGGGTATCATTTTTCAAATTGGTCACATTGTACAATTTAAATGAGTGTGTTCGAATTACATTTTACGACATTGACATGATACTAGTTGATTAACTAGTTGATATATGATATAGACAATATATATCCGATAGCCTTGGCGACATGTGTATCAAGCTGCTTGAGATTATTTTAAATAAGTGCAATGAGCGTGTTAAAATGGATAAGGGATTTTTCCACACACAAAAACGACAAATTCGGCCGAATTTTGTTATCGGTTGGCTCAATATTACGCCCAATGGATCGTATTTCTGTGAAAGATTGGTATTTTTGCCCTGATTTGTAGAAATCTGAAAAACGCGTTTCACAACTTGTCTCTTATTTAGTTTTATGCCGCATTCAAGATGGCGGCCCCCATATAGTAAATATCGCATTTATTTTATTATCACGTGTGCGCCAGCTGACTGTGCATAGTATAGCTAAGATAACATAATTCACAACTCTAACCACGTACACGGTCTTTCTGACTTACAAACATTCCGCGATTTTCCCATTTCAAACACTACATTTTTGTTTGTATCATAAATTAATATGCACATATGTTTTAATGTTTCAGAAAGTAGGCCTTGGAGCATTCTTATTGGTAGGTGACATTCTGGGCAGTGCCGAAAATGAACCGGATGATATCAACACGAACCACAGGCAGCTAGAAAATCTTTTCTCCTATTTTTCCATGAAATCCAATATACCTAGCCTAGCCCCTAGAATACAAAACAAATAGAACCACTTGGTCATGTCAAACGCCACATCTCGCTATATATTGCAATACAGACAATATTTGAACAATTTGTTTGTTCAACCAAAATTGACAAATATTAATACAAATGAAATAGGAGAATTTCTCCAAATTTTCAATTGTTTTTTTTTGTTTTTTTCATGTTTGTATTACACACGATTCACTGATTAACTCGAAACTAGTGTAATTGTCGATTTTCAATTGATTTTATCGTGATTTGATATTGCGAGCAATTCTTTTATTATAACGGCCATTTTAAGATTGGTTAAGGTTACTTTTGAATATGCACTATTGATAAATTCGTGTTTTGTTTTGTGTACACTTTAGTGGCTGTTCGTTGTGATAGAAATACGTAATTATTTTTAATATTTGGAAGGATTGATTACAATATTAATAAGTTCCAAAACTGGGATTTAAAAGATACGTGAATGAACAGGTTGAGATTGGGGGACATGGAATATTCTAGAACGTTGAAACCTTGGTACAAAGATGCATGTAGGAAAAGTGTTGAAAACAGTTTGAGACGAGGGAACCATTCAGAATTCCGCTATTGCCACCCAAGTCTATAGATAGAATTTATAAGATATGGCTGAGATTTGGAAACACGCAATCCAGGTTGTCTGAGTACAGATTTTTAAGAGCAATCATGTATTTAAGCACACTGACTTTCAATTCTGATTTTCATTAATTTGTGTGACGACTTTTGGTGTGGGCAGTCGCCATATTTGTTTATGCAAATGAGTTGATATAAGTGATGCTATTAAGTCAGCAGATGGCTAAACAACTTTTGACAATGTTTCACCATATATACGAAGCATATTTTCAACTGATCATCGTACCCTCAAATGTTAGCATTCCGAATGATTTGATGAGGTTTCATATCATATGTTCGACCGCGCCCTCTGTATTTGAGACGTGTCTAATATAAAGTGTCATGTTCGAATTGTCTAAACACAATTTGATCTTGATTAAATCGGCATTAGCGCCCTCTGTGTCCAAATGCATAAACAGATAGAAATGCTATAACACAAGTAAATTATTTAGCAAACAATAGATTATGTACATACTAGAGTAGTTTTATTTTTAATTCATATGCTATTAAATATATTAAATCAATATTGCATCTTATTGTAATTTGTCTGTACTTATAACCATCAGTGTCAATTCTGTGTGTTCTTATTTTTCTGTGCAAAGATGCCTTGAAGTTACGCACGTCTTGTATCACAATTATATTAGGTATGTTACACATATCATCTTACACATGTACATCTTGAGTTTATTAACATAAACGTTTATCACCCCCTTTATCCCTTGCTTGGGTGCTTGCTTTCTTCTTCTTTCAACCTTCACCCCCCTGACTTCCAATTGTTTAATATTGTTTGAATGCCTCTCATTATACAATTAACTCCTGTACACTTCAAATATAACTGTCAGGTAGTACTGATGTCATCAGCTACTAATTAATCCATCCACCATTTATGACATTCTTTATAGCGTTGAATCCAATTATCAAATTATTTCATAGACTAGAATAAATCTAAATACCATAAATACCATCACCTGGCTCTATATGGTGGTCACGAGGGACATCCTATTAATCATGGTCGTCTACGTGATGAGTGTTACAAAAGATTCATTACATAGACCATTTCCATTTTCATTTTCATTTTCAGCCACGTGTAATATTACACGACTGTTTATACACCAGTACCGTAATATGCACACTGGGTGTTGACCAAATCCACCAACTTCAGCGGTCTCCATGCAGCGTTGCAGTTCAATCAGATTGCGTGCTACATCATTCAATCAAATACCTGCTCTAATCTATAAACACACGTCCGTTTTATCGGGTATTATTTTATTGCGTGGGTCCTTCTGGCATCAACTAGGTACAATAGATTCGACAATGAATGTGATATATGTTTTGTAAGTCTGTCCACATTTCATAATTTCAAGGCATAGTTTTTATTAATACGACGACTCACCATCTCAAAATAGAGCACCCAAAACTATATATACACACCCTTTAAGTTACGAATCATTTATTGTTGCGACGACCACCGCCCTTTAATAATTACCACGCAATGTACTAAATAGTGCTGGTCATAAAGTTGTGGAATATTATATTCAGTGTACGACGAAGCATGACGACTGTAGTGAATATACACGCAAACTTTCTAGTAATTACTTACATATAGAATAAAACAATACCACGATTAAGAAAAGATGAAGCTTAGCTCATGCGTTTGTCTTCATAGGATATAAAAGATCGTAGTCCCTTCAATGGCAATTCTGGTCATTGCCATATGTAACACGCCTCGTTTTCATAGTTTGTTCATAGTTACTCCCCAGATGGCAGAACATGCACTGATCTTGTCTGATTATTTTCTCTAATATTCAACATCGTAATATCTTATGTACCAATTGTTTTCAATAACATGGTCCATGTTTGTTTGCATCATCTTGATTAATAGAGTCTCGTTCTTCAATGACTAAAAGACAATATTCAAAGAAGTGTTTTATAGTTTTATTGCCAACAACGTTTTCAAGAGACAATTTTTGTTTCGCCGGTACTGTACCAGCATGACCAATATACTATAAATTGATATATAGCGTGTGTTTCTGGTGTGGCATCACATGTTTTTTGCAAACTCTAGATGTTGGTCCTAACCTTGCAGTTGATTATTATTGTTGTGCATTATTTGACATATGTCTGTGTGTAATATTATTATAATATGTCTATGGTGGTATTGCATCAATATTAACTCACGTTGTTGCCATCATTATACATTCTAATAAATGATACCTACTGTGATAGCGACCACATTGATTCTTCATTGGCGTGTGGATAACCCAATAACAAACTGCTACAACCAGACACAAACCAGCATAACTTCTGAACAATGTTTTTCCTCCATAGACATGATAGATCCACCCACTAAGTATACTTCCCAGACCTTTACCTAAGGTTGAAATTTACCAGAAGCCGCATAAGTGAATTGTGCAATCATATTGTCTTACGTGCATCGAAAATATATGTAGTTTCCATATATTAGGAAAGGCCAAGTACAATGTGCCCATATAAGAGTCAAACAGTGATCTTATAAGATAAACATATCTTACCCAGTCCTTTAAAACATGCCTGCACCATTGATTGAGCGGTCGCAGACATTCCAGGTGGCGATATGATACTTGCATATGACGTCATTGTGGCATACATAGCACCATATACGACTCCATGCACCACCTCCAATGGTAACACATACCATACATGATTAGAAATACAGGAATATGCTAAATATCGAATAATGTTGCTAAGAAAAACAAAATAAATTACTCCCCTATAACCAAGGTAATCGATGATATTACCCGAATAAAAAAAGAACGGCAATTCGGAAATACATGTAACCAACAGGCTTATCCCCATCAGTGAATTTGGGGCTCCAGCCTCTTCCAAAAACCAGAAAAATGTAGTTTGTATAGTGCCAACACCAATACCAAACACAGTAAATGCTGTAAACGATGCCACAACTTCAGTCTGTCTAAATAAATCACAAATGTTATTGAACATTTTCTGAGGTTTATTAATTGCGGGAACATCAATTATACTAGTGATAACTACTGTAACAGCTACTAGTACTGCAAAAAGCACAAATGCAGGGTCATAGTTCTTGTAGGAAGTCGATGAGAAGTTATTACTAAATGCATCAACGAATATCCCTGACATCAGAGCAAAACATCCACGTCCAATGGCGCCCCATACTCGTTGCTTTCCATAATCACCATGTTTATCACCAAGGTGTTCGTAAACAATCATGTCAATAAGTGGCTGCACTGAACACGCAAATACGGCTTCCAATTGTAGAATGACAAGACAAAACCAGAACGTGAGACTGACAACATCGTTCCCGTAACATTGTGCATGGAATGACGAGTTATTTACCAAGTGTACGTTTTCACATGTCACTTGAGAAGTATTGTTACTCTCTGAATCTGTGTAATTACAGTGGAGAACATTACCATTGCGTGTCCAATTATAATTATATTCCAGGAAGAAGATCGCTGAACTGGTATTATAACACACGTCTTTTTGATCTATTACATATATTTTGCAGTCACTATCATTTATATAAATTGTATTCATAGCATGTTCACTACCATTACAATTTTGTTTGGTAAACGTGAATTTCAGTTCACTTTGATTCCATGTACACACAATTTCATTTTTGTCATTTTCTTCCTTATAACGTTGAACTGATGTTGGTACATGTATAAACCGACACGATATCATAAGCATTGCAGACAATATTATGCATAACATCAGAACCAATTTGTGTTGTCTCAGCCTGTCTGATAAAATGCCGCATAAAGGATTTACCAGAAAACCAATGAAGGATTTAAGTCCGAATATAATACCAATTTGAAGAGTTGTTATACCAAGGTGCTTAAGATAAACTGGCAAATATGGAGCAATAACAGCCTGTCCTGTAAAATACAATAAGAGTATGAGGGCATTATTTGACTTAAAAACCAGGGCCAAATGCCATGTAGAGGTACCATATATTTTGGTGAATTTCTAATACTTTTAAAAGCATTTAGTAAGTCTTGTCAACAATTCTGGACTATGAATTTTCAAATGCTATAAAAGTGTGTGCATCAGCGTTCACCTTTTTTATTTTATAGTTATTTAGTCCGAGGACGATTTATGAAAACAAAGGGATTCGAGTTATAAAAATGAGTCTAACTCGGAAACATGACATTTAGTGTATGTAAAGTCTTGTAATTGTGCATTTTATATTTCCCGGGAAGGACGACCACCACTGAGGTTTAGCGTTTTTTGATATACTGTACCTACCTATCCATTTACATTAAATTTAATTTTAAGTGAATTTAAGTTGACTGTAATTAAATTGCATTCCTATACAAAAATGATAATTTAGTTGATTGAAAATAAATTGCATCCCTATACAGTGTAAACCTTCTACATTTAAAGACAACATATATTGATATTCACTTATGGTAATGTTAAATGTAATAATTACGAATTAAATTATGTGCTTATAATAACAACAAACACTAACAAAATATATACAGCTTAATATGCCGCAAATATATTGTGCATAACTTAATAGTTGAGTATGCAATATTCATGTGTAATATGGTATTGGACAAATTGTGGTTTATTGATGTTGTATACCACGTGATTTTCTTTATTAGTAGTACGTGAGATTATGTAAATGAGGTGTGTCAAAATAGTTCTAATTGAACGATCCATTGTAAAATAAATGCAGTCTTCGGTTCACGTGTGCTTATGTGTAATAAAGAACACTGTTTAAAAATGTGGTTTTATCCCTGAGTGTATATTGATTTTTTACTGATGTCCATGAAAATC